ATATAGTTCTTAATAGATGTTGTTTGTGGAGTTTTGTAACAAATAATTTCCTCTGGGATTATTAAAGTATTTCTGATTAACTCTAAATGACCTCAAACATATATTTGACATTACTCTACTGCTATTTCTTATTATTTATCGTCTGCCATACTTCACACAGAAACTATATATATATATATGTACAGTCAGCCGATAATGTAGTGGAGCTCTACATCTCACTGTATTCTCATTACATTTATTCTCACACTGGTGGTGGACTTGTTTCAGTCTCACACATGTGAGACATAAAGGGGGTTTTTACTCCTGTAAACTGTACTGAACATATATCTTTGAACATTTGGAGCTTATTTTGTGCTCATGTGCTCTGGTGTCAACATGGCTCCTAATGTTGAAGCTCTTCTCAGTTCCTCCTGGTCACATGGGGCAGTTCATATATATATGTTTGTATGTTTGTGTGCAGCGCAGACATCAGGAACTTCGGGCTGTTGTGGTAAACTGGTGAACATGTCGCACACCTTTTACAACGATATCATTATTATTCTTAACAACAGAGCTGTTTTAAGAGGAGCAGTGTTAAAGTCTCCACCGAGGAAGAGTTCTTCATGGGAGTTGTCGCCTTCAGTCCTCGCGTGATTTTCCTAATCTGCGGACTTTTTGACAAGCGCCTTTTGTCTCGAGCGAAGAAGAAGAAGAAGGAAAGCTGTTGTTGAGCTGGAACAAAAACAGCACGTCGGCTTTAATGTTCTGTTCTAATAATAGCCTTTTAAAAATGATCATTTAAGTTTCTAAATATGGACCTGAGTAGTAGAAGAAGTTGCTTTGTGTCCATGTTGGTCCATATTGGCTTGTGATATATTTATCTACAGTCCTACCACTGCTAATGCAGATGGTTTGACTTAAATTTAATAAACTGTGTAATTATCTCTTTTTGATGTTGGGTTGTCCGTCATATGAGTCAGTGTCGGTGTCTATTTGTGAGACTTTTTCCTTTTGCTTTGTTTGCATTATTCACAACTGAGCGAGCTTAAAGTTTGAGTGTGACATCCTATCACGTTTTGAAGGTGTAAAACGTTAATGTGTGTGTATATAAATCACGATTAATGAAGAATATACAGACATACCGATGCACGTGTCAGCTTTGTAACTGTGAACGTGTCTAAATAAAAAAGGGGAGCGCTGTCTCAGTCTTTCAGTCTAACCCTAAAGATATACAGGTACTTTGTGCTGACAGCCTTTCAGCTATGAAAGCTGAACAGTGGCTAAAGTTAGATGCACTTCATTAAACTTGGCGCACAAAAGAGTCCCAGTCAAATGTTTTTGGACAGGAAGACAAACGATTCTGTGTCTCTCTCTCTCTCTAGTCTTGTGTTACGGTTCATTTTCATACCATCGCTCCTGTTAAAGTGATAAACGAGAACCCTTTGCATACAGGCAGGCAGTTTTTACAGTCTGCACCACAAACCACTGCAGTTAGCTCATTAACCTAATAGTCCCGGCTCAGGCACACTCAATCCATCGCTCCGGCGGCGGTGCGATGAGCGCAGACCTCTGCTGGCGGCGGCTCGCTGGTCTTGAAGGGTTTTCTTCTTTGTACAGAGCAAGTGTGTTCAGGCCTCCTTTAACGGACCCGCAGCCTCCCGCCAGACCGCCCCACGGTTTGTGCTGCGTGTTCGGAGAATTTGGAGTATTTACATCAGCTTTCTTGGCTTCAGCAGCCGTGTGCCATCTGGGCCTGCAGTGTTTCCATGGCTGAGCAAAATGATGTCCTCTTTGATGTCCTCTTTGATGTCCTCTTTGTGGGATTTATTATCATCAAGAGCCCGACCAGATTTTTGTTTTTGATACTGTAATAATTTATTGTTGTAGTCACAGATACTTCCACAGGTCAGTTGATTGAAATGTGCTGCAAAGGCTCCAAATAACAGTTACTGTCACTATCGATTAATCTGATTAATTCCTCTATTAATGAACGAATACTTTTATCTTTAAAACGTCAAATAGTGAAAAATGATTGAACTGGTCATCAAATTCTTCTCAGCTGTAGCAGGTGCGTGATTCATTTTGTGAATGGAAAATGTTCTAATTGTGGGAAAGTGATGATGTTTTAATATACAATCTGTAATAACACTGTTACTTTTGCCATATTTAATTAATATTATTATAATGCATTTTCTTATTAAACTTCCATTTTTTAAAGTTTAGTTTCTTTATTCACACAAATGGAAATGACTGAGCACCTTGTGTATAATTACAGAATCATTTCCACCCTATTTATTCTATTCTTTATTTTCAACTAGTACTGTTGCTATTTTTAAAATATATGTCACTGTGATATAGTTACAGCGCCTGCACCCCTCATGTGAACGCACTCAAATGTAAGGTGATATTGATATCTGTTGCTGCTATTAGGCAGAAAAAGTGACCTGAATCGACTTGGCGGAGAATAAAACGGAGCTAACTCACAGCCACCATCTTTTATAAACTAACTCACAACTCGATATAAGCAGTGTGAAGCTCATTTTTTTTTGTTTTCCCAACACGAGGCTCCTACTATTACTAATTGGATGAGAGACGATGGAGGCAAAGCTGCTTCCTCTTGCGCTGGTGCAGCACTACAGGTAGAATTTTATTCACCAGAAAAAAACCAACAACTTTTAAAGCACAAAAGTGAGTGAGCAAGCAAGCGTGGCATTCGCTGCTTGGTGGAGAAGTTCCTTCCCAAAGAGGCCCTCAGGGTGGGGATTTTATTTTAGCAGACTGGATATGAACAAAGTGAAGCACTGTTTGTGGGTGTTTTGCTTTGCCTGATGTCGTTAAAGGGCGTCAATTTATAAGCTGATGAAGTTTTTACGACGGACAACATGTCCCAAGTTCATATCAGAAGTTTAGTTTGTAGCTTAAATGATCTTTTCTTTGTCCTTCCTACACACATTTACACCCCTGGTAATAAGTTAATAATATAACGATTAGGACTCATACAACAGATGTTAGCGGCTTCAGGTAACAATATAAAGTGTAACCCATGAGGTGCCCAAACAATTAGTCCATTAATTCATGAATTGATAGAAAATTCTAATAACTTAATCTAAATTAGTTATTATTTATTCTTAAATGTGAACATTTGGCGCTTTCCCCATTTTGTAGGATTAAAAATGTAATATTGTGTTTTGTGCTTTCGGCAGAAGACGTCTTGAATATTGTGGAAATGTTTCATTCTTTTACAGACTCAATGTTTAAAAGACCACTGTGTTGGATTTAGTAGCATCTAGTGATGAAGTTGCAGATTGCAAGCAACTGAATACCGCTCATCTTCAAAGCGTATAGGAGAAACTACGGTGGCTGCGAGGACCCAACAAAAACATAATTATACACCAATTAAAACATAACTATGACTATAAATCTTCCTTTTCTGTGTTACACAATAGACATTTAATCGATTAATGTAAAAAAATAGTCGACCAATTAATCAAAAAATAACCCTAAACTCACTCCATCCTTTTCCAAACCAACTGCAGTCTACTTTAATGAAACAATATCTCTCGGAATCAAATAAATGAAATAAGGGCAAACAACGGACGGATTATTTTACTGTTACTCCTCACTTAATAACATGAATATGTGTGTTAACATTATGACAAAGAGAGCAGATGACTTCGTAACGGCTCGCTTTAAAAGCCCCGTTCTCACAGCTCCAGCATTAGCAGGGGTCACTGTGTGACTTGTATAATTGTAAAGGTCGTCTGAGTTTTTAATCCAGTGCAAATCTGCTCACTTTGTAATATCTAAAGCAAACAAATCCAAAGCAAATTGCCTAGCGTATGTTAGAAAACACACGTCTGATAATATTAATCCTGTGGGAGCAGAAATCTTGGTACTTTGGAGTCGTATTTTACTTCTTTTTATATTCATTTCTTCACTTTCAGGGGTTCCCTGCATTTCCTGTGCTTTTATTTTTCTATGTTTAACTCTAAAGGAGTTTAATTTGTCTGTTTTTATATTAGCAGCCTGTACAGTATGATTCACTCTGTCTGTGCACTTTCCATCCCAGACACAGCGTTATAGATCTGTGCACACTTTTATTTAGTTGAGTTTGTTGTGGTATTTGTGTGTAGGGCTGTCTAGCCAGAGTGTGACTAGGACATTGGCCCGCTCTGACATGGACTCGGACGGGTAATCTGTGAGATCAGCAAAATGTAATCTTCTTTAGTCAACGACCCGCACAGCGTTATTTGTGTGGCTGAGTAAGAGTGTGTGTGTGTGTGTGTGTGCAGCAGCCAGTAGTTTAGCAGAAATCCCTCTGTATATTGTAATTGTGACACAGTAATTCCAAGCTATTGAACGTAACTAAGTCATTACATCCAGTTTAAAACAATTATACATGTAAGTATACTTCATTCTATTTGTCCGCCTAACCCTGAGAAGTGCAGCTCCATACTTCACCCCTTTACTTAACTTTACACTCTGTTTTTATTAGCCTGCAGGTCCGGGATGAGGTCTTCGGTTGGACTTCTCTAAACTGGGCGTTACTCTGAAGTGTAGAGCTGTAAAAGCACACAAGAAGGAGAAGACAAATTCCTCTACATTGTGCAGAGATGAACGTTATTTTGCTATTAACAGATCAGCGTACACAAATGCTGGCAGACTAAAAGCATGTTGTTTTCTCACATCCTCTCTCGTTAACTCCTTAACAACCTTGACTGATTAAAGTCATCTTTCAGTGCAATGAAAGGACGACATTTTGTGCTGCATCATGTATGTTGGAACATCTGTGGATTGACACAGCACATTAATCACTCTCAATTTTGATAATGTAATTGTTTTATGTGTTTTATGTTTGCTTATTTAGGCTGTAGTTTGTAGTTTTAATCAGTTTTGATCAAATTAAACTGAATATATTTGAGTTTTGGACTGAAAGTCAGAAAAAAACGAGACGTCTCTGAATTTTTCAACTTGTTTGACATTTAATAGACTAAATGATTAATAAATACATGTATATGTCAGGATACTGTTCAGTCTCAGATGAAACCACTGCGGACCCTGCTCTAGTTTTAATGAAAAACCCTGACTTTAGCTCATTCAGTGTGTGTGGCTGTGTGACACTCAGTGTGTCGGACTTATTGACACTACCTGACCTGTAAAATGACAACAGCATAATGAACTTGTTGGTAGAGCACAGGATTGGTTGCACTTAACAACACGGTGTAGAAGAATGTCGTGTGCTTATTAAAGTCTCGCTCATTGTGCTGTTCAGTCAGAGCTGTAGGCTCATTAGAAAGCCCCCCTCTACAACTGCAGTGCGATTGGTTTATAATGGGAATTAACAGTATAATCCTGCTCTTTGTTAACAGGAGGAGGAATAGGAAGACGTCTTGTAGCGATGGCGTTGCTTCTTGTCGTGGTTGCGGTGATTGTCATGTTGTAGGAGCTGAAACGTCTTCATATAATTCAATTTAAAGTGCTGATTGAGGTGGTCTGAATACATTCGAGCCTAAAGCACGAGTTCATATGCATCGTTTGGCCCTCCAGCGCTATGTGCACCTCTGAAACTCTATCATGTGTACTGACTGGACACACTGTACAATCGCACACACACGCTAGGCTGCTCCTTTGGTAAACAACAGTGCTGGAAAGCTGAAACAAAGTATTTCAGGTCGGCTTGCAACATGCTGACAAGCTGCAATATCCGATCTCTAAGTGATTTTATATAGATTTTTTTTTTTTCTCCTGATTTTCAGAGGTGAGTCATGGCTGAACCAAACCCCTCCCGTCCCCAAAGGAAGATGTCCACCGCTGGGGAGAGTGTGTACAAGGTGCTAGGTCTGGAGAAAGGAGCTACAGCTGAGGACATCAAGAAAGCCTACAGGTAAACGCTCAATAATCAGAATTATTACTTCAGCTACGCTGTCTCAACTGTCTCTTTAGAAAGGATTAGTTTCTCCAGAGTAGGCAAGCTAACCACATTGCAATTATTACTTTAGGTATTTCTTAAATCCTTTGCTTTAATTTGTGTAATCCTGTTCCTGATTGTGTTGGCAAATCCCCCCTCATAAGTGGTCAGATTACTCAAGTGCTGTTCAGAGATATAACTCCACCAGTCATGTTGCTAAAGAGCATATTTCTGTCTGTCGGTGATGCAGTTCTGCTGCCTCCTTCCCTCCTTTTTAAGAAGTATTTTAAATGATGTGTTAATAGGTATAATGGTAAATGCTAAAATGTAGTTTAGCTCAAGGAGAGAAGAGTCATAAAGTCACACAGCAGTAGCTATATATTCTGCAAGTCTACACGTTTGCTGAGCTACAGATTTACGAATATTAACTAACCATTCGCCACCATAAGCTACAGGTTCTGCCAGACCAAATGAGGCTGTGAAAGTGTGTAAACTTGTACAGAACAGTCTCGTTGAGATCAACATCTCTTCTGCAAGAGAGACCCGAGTAAAGAAAATACAGCACAACAAGTGCAAGTGGCGACAATGCTAATAAACAACTCATTTACCTTATTTCCATTATTTAATTATTGAAAGTAGATATTTTAATTGACATTATGAGTCATTGCTTCTGAAAATAGTTGATTCATTTTCTGTCAATCTGTCAATTTAATTGTTTTACTTCTACAATAATTGTAACGTTGATGACTTTTCAATCAGCAAATCAGTTACTCAATTAGTACTTTCTAACTTTAACTATTAGAAACTAATATTATCTGGAAGAATAATATTGTTTTCCATATGACCCTTTATAATCTTGACATCCTGGGTTTGAATTTGGGAAAGGAACCTTGTTACATGTAGTACACAGCAGTAAAAATTAGCTGGGTCGTCAGCCTGATCCTTCCCTCCCTCCCTCCCTCCATCCTTCCTTCACTTATCTTTTTCCACATTTCGCTTACTCTTCACGTTGCGTTGTTTGATTTCCCGCCTGCTCTTCTCTCCTGTTCAGGAAGCTAGCGTTGAAGTACCACCCGGATAAGAACCCAGACAACCCGGAGGCAGCGGAGAAGTTCAAGGAGATTAACAACGCCAACTCTATTCTGAATGATGAGACCAAGAGGAAGATCTACGACGAGTATGGCTCCATGGGCCTTTACGTGTCCGAGCAGTTCGGAGAGGAGAGCGTCAAATATTACTTCCTCATGTCCAAATGGTGGTTTAAGGTTGGTGCTTTGGTTGTGATACATTTGACTATTTTGAGGGCTTTTTTCAGTAAAGTCACTTAAGGTTAAGGGCTTTTTTTATACTACACAGGGCTGAAAATAAAATGTGTCCCGCAACTGTCCCAAATTCTACTAGTTCAATAACTTGTTTCAGTAACTGGCGTCCCTTCATCGACTCGCTCTGCTCCACAATGGAATTTCTAGTTGTTCCCTTCACTTATATCTAAATAAAAAAATTGAGGTCATCCTAGGGGTGTTTGGTCACAGTCAGTGTTCATTATTCTTTTACTCACTGGTTGAGTTACTGATTCTTGTTAACTTCTCACAGTTGGATCAATAAATGCATCACTGCAAACTGCAGTACAAACGCAAACTGAAATTTACATACAAGCACTTGAACATTATTATTATTATTATTATTATTATTTAGCCAAATAATACTAATAGGCCTGCAAACCTCACTACAAGGACATGGAATATTTGAAGAAGAAAAGTACATGAAAGAATTCTACAAAGGGAAGGAGAATATCAAACAAACTCTTTTAAATATTTGCAAGCTGAAATAGAACTGTTTACATATAAGCTATACCAACACCCAAAGAGTGAGAGAAAAGGTCAAATGTGCGCCACCACGCCTGCTGCCTGCTGCCTGCCTGCGCACGGCACAAGAGGAGAGGGAGAGATTCCTGACCGTTGGAAAAAGTCTATTACTCTGAGCAGCATGCATGGGAATTAATTACAGTACGATATATTTTAATATATAAATATATATCCTTGCATTTTTCCCTGATGGTTTTAGAAATGAAGCCGCTAAGTACAGCAACACCTGTACAATCTAATGCAGTCCAATGCCACAGGCCACCAGTAGAAACCATCGTTCAGCCATAGTTTATGGTGTTACAACTGCCCTACAGTGAAATATGTCTTTTTGTGCCCCCTGCACATAATGGGTTCTTTTCCTCTGAAATGTGTTGTGCTAAAGTGTGAACTCAATTACTTACACTGCAAACTGTGTTAGAAACAGATCACTAAATTCGAAAAACTGACTCCTAAGTTTATGTTCTCTTATCCTGGGTCACAAACTTTTATTACTGTCATATATTAAGTTTATAAAGTACCATCTACTTTTTTCCATGTAGCTCTCACACCTCCCTGAGGCCTAAATATACCAGGACAGTTTACTATACCAAACGGATCTGTTTCAGAGGATTAAATTCACTGTTAGATCCCACCTTTTTCTGCTGTCGTCTGGCTGAACATTGTTTTAAAAGGTCCTCTGTTTGCTCCCGCAGGGTCTGGTACTGTGCTGTACGTTGTTCACCTGCTGCTGCTGTTGCTGCTGCTGCTGTTTCTGCTGTGGGAAGTGTAAACCACCTGACGACGATGAAAACTACCAGTATGTCGACCCTGAAGACCTGGAGGCCCAAATCAAAGCAGAGCAGGATGGAGGTGAGCCGGTGTTTCACATAGTTATGGTTTAGGCTCTAATTACTGCTGTACACTTAATGTACCACTTGGGTTTTTGTAAGTGGGTTGAAACACACTGCGTTGCATAATTTAGCTTTGTGAGTGCAGGCTCCCACAAGGCAACAAAATTGACAACCTCCCATTATCCAAATAACATTCACATTGGATTATAGATTAACAGAGGCAGACTGACTGTAGTGAATTGAATGCACCTCATTCTTCATCCATTAAGCATTGTGCAGCTGTTGTCATGTACAATTATACAGGACTAAAAATAATAACTTTCCTATTATTAAACAAAAACATTGACAAAATCACATGCAATAAATGTAATTACGGTACAACATGTACTGTGAAGAGAACACAATGCACAAGTTAAACATTTCAGTCCTAGAGATCCCCAAATATGAGGACATGTTCTACTTCTGGCTAATGAAATTGAAAGTACTAACAATGTTGGTCTGTCATAACTCAACTTCTTCCTTCCTTCAGGCACCAATGGAGTATACAGTGAACTGGTGGAACGTTTTAGAGCCCTCTGTTGGTGTTGCTGTTCTTCTACTTTTGTGGACTAGAAACAAACACCTTCATTTTCTCGTTATCCAACTATGTTAAAATCTGGGAGGCTGATGGCTGTTTACCTTAATATTCTGTAGCTTCCTGAGACACACTACGATAATTCAACTGCCTTGGAAATAAAATGTCTGCGTCAATTTAAGGATTTTTAAGGAACAGTAGCCACTTTGACAATTCCTGTATTGTAATCTTTTTCTTCTTCTTCTTTCTTGAGGGCTTGGTTGTCTTTATTGGACAGGGCATCTCCAGATAGACAGGAAAGGGAGAGAGAGAGGGGGGATAAACATGCAGCAAAGGGCCACAGGTCAGACTCGAACCCACGGCCACTGCAGCAAGGACTCAGCCTTGGTAAATGTAAGCTACCAGGTTGCCCCCCCCCCCCGTGTTGTAATCCCAGCTCAAGTAGAGAAGAGTCATAAAGTCACAGTAGTACATATTCTACGAGTCTATAGGTTTGCCAGTATTAGCAAACATAAGCTACTGGTCACACCAGAACAAATAGTGTGTTAAATGATATATGACCTTTTTGTTTAATCAGGTTAAAACCAAACAAGACAGATATATAACCAGACAAACAAAAGTGCATAACATACAAAGAACATGTACAAAACTTGGAGTACTAAAGTGTCTTTTGTTTTGATTTGATTTAAAAAAACAAAAGCACATAAAGCATCAGTAAGAATCGCAGACATCACTAAATATTCTCTGTAATTAATTCCATTTATAAGGTGTAAAGTAGTGGAAGGTCGTGTCCCCAAACCCGGACGGGTAACTGGAGTTTAACAGTCCTGAGATCTGATTTTGTGGGTGAGAACGATGTTTATCCCCCGTGATGAAACAGAAAGCGCACTGATGAACGCTGTCAAGTTGGTTTTAAGGTAGCGTGAGCAGCGTGAGATAAAGGATTCCTTCATAGCCGTGCACAGACACGATGGTTGACTGTATGGTTGACATTTTCCTGTCTTCAAGACAGAAACGTGCTTTATTTTGTGCCAGTTTCTCCACATGCTGTTTAAAATGAGACAGATTCTCAGATATTGTAAAGATAGTTTCAGTAATTTAAGTAAGGGTGCATTTTATCTGTTGTGAATTAAACTTTTCCCTTGTAAGAAGTATTTCTTTTCAAACGATACATACTCCCACTTTAAACCCACCACAGTACCTTGAATAACTTATTATTTTTTTAATGTTGAAGCAGCATTTGCAGGAAAAGTGCTGTAGAAACTAAAACTATAACCAACCCGTGGCTTTCTGCAGCTTAACCGGTGAAATTTAACATGCTCTCACACTGCAAGGATTCGTGTTTTCATGCTCCAATCCAACAGGTTACACAGTAATCATAGGCCAGCCCACATCTAATTTGGGTCCAGAAAGCCCAGAAGGCCAGAGTCAGCCCATCCCCCTGCCAATGCCAATGCCAATGCCAATGCCAATGCCAATGCCTCCAGCTGAGCCCCAGTCGCCAACCAGTCCAGCAGGGGAAGAAAACCCCGGAGAGACCTTACCAGAGTCGAAATGACTCGTAAGAGCCGCCTCGTCTGATTTCTGTGTCGCATCGTCCGTTCATCCGTTTTGTCTAATGTGAGAAGTTGTCTTCTTGGTGTTGCTCGTCCGTGCTCGTCAGCTGTCTGCCTGGCTGTACCATCACTGCTTCTTCGCCCATCCATAACAAACTGCCCGTGCTGTCCCGTTAACCGCCGCCGCACACATTTACTGCACCACTCCTCATCGCCCTGTACCTGCATGTTGTTTCATGCTGTCCGTATGCTTGTTGTCAGTGTTACGTGAAGTCACTGTACTGTTGGCTTGAACTGCCATCAAAAAAAAAAAGGCATGGCTGAGTTCATTATTGTTGCTTTAGTCTTGTTATATTGTACTGCTATGTATATCTTAAGACATCATCTTGTACTTGTGTTTGATAGATAGTATGTGATGATGGACAGGAAAATCATGTAAATGTAGAACACTGCAGAAGCCATTCAATTAAACACGTCATCATTTCAATATTATATATGCCAGATAAGTTCTTTGCACTGCATGTCCAACACAACAGACTTTACCTGCTTTAATAATTCCATTTATGTCCCATTTTTGCTCTTGTTATTTTTGACAATTTAAAATTATTCTAAACAACACAAATAAAAACTGAACCCCGACTATTTCTGATTAAAAACAACTGTAAATTGTAAAGGTTTTAAAAATTGGCTCTCTGGCATCTGCAGAAAAAATTAGGAGAAATTCAATGTAAACTTTGCATTGAACTTTGTGTTCCTCCTCTCTCACAGGAAAGTGACGGTGTGGATGAGCCTCAACTAGCGGAAGCAGGTGGGTACGATACTGTGCTTGTAGTTTTATTTGTCCAGTTGTAGTTATACATGTTAGAAATCAGTTTGTGTCGCACTGTTTCCTCACCATTGCTGTTTATCTCCATTTGACCTCTGCCTCTCTCCCTCTTTAGCCTTTCGAGCCCCTATTACGATCCAGCCACATTCGACCGCTGCCAGCGACGTAGAGATCAGCCAGCCCGAAGCCACCAGCCAGCCCAGGCCCGCACCTCCAATCCTGACCTCTCAACCTACCTGATCAGCCCACTGGACAGCTCCTGTAAGGTGGGCACTTCAGGTCTCCTAGCCCCCTCCATGAAACTCAAGTGATGGAGAAGTATTCAATTAAACTGCTGGGCTCTGAAAACTCTCACAGAAAATTTTAGTCTCCTTTCTCCATCCAACTTGCCTCATACTTTAGCCTAGTCTGGGCTAGATGAGATCTTGCTAGCTGTTCAGTCATCCAGAGCTAGGCCATGGCGACATGCCTGGACTCCTCACTAATCCATTCTTGTCATCCCATTACAACCAGTAAGGATGTGACACTGTGCAGCGAGATGGCAAAAACAGTGCGATATGAGGGCAAAAACAACATGGAAAGGGGGAAGGTTGTCCTCTTTATTAATCCACTCTCCAGATCAGGACTGGAGTTATCTTTTCTATTTACTCTCTGCTCCAACCCTCCCAGTCTCCCTCCATTCTGGACTCCGCTGGTCAGCAACAGGAGCACTTTTTTTACATTTCCCCCCTCCCCTCCTTTAACTTGTTTTGAAAAGAAGCGCTTTGGGTGAAATAACTCCAGTATGGATTTGGATGCCACTTGTGACGTGTACACATCATCTGACGCCAGCAGCACGACGTTGTGACTGTGGAGGACCTTTTTTTTTTTTCTTTCCCCTCTTCCTCCTCCTTCAGTCTGGCTTTAACAAACAATCTCATTCAGTTAAATGTTGCATTACCTCCCTCTAACGTTCATCCTTTGAAATAAGCTCTCGATGCCGAGTGTGGTGACACAAAAAAATAAAACATCTTCTTTTGAAAGGAGGCGGGAGGACTAAGGCGGCGCATCGCAGAGCAAAGCTTTCAATCTGGACATACTTTTCACATGAACGCACAAACGTGAAGGGGGAGGGAGGAGGAGAGCGAACAGAAGTGACACAAGTAGAAGTGAGACATTGTGATGTTAAATGTCTGAGCCAAAAACCTGGAGCTGAAGATTTGGAGCATGGATCCGGAGTAGAGTCGAGGCTTTCCTCCCCAACGTGCATGCGTGTTTTTTCCGGATGCATGTCGTCGTCCCCCCCTCCCCCTACTGTACAGCACTGGATTACAGTACACAACCCCAATAACCACAAAACATGAAAGAACTGCCTAGCTTAACCATACAGACATGCAGACTACAATATATACAAACACACTCTTGTACCAGCCCGTATGTCATCGTGTGCCACCCTCTTGCTAAAAAAAAAAATAATACAACCCCCCCAGCATAATCTAATGACTAAAATGGACAAAAGAAACACAGCTTTCGATGTTGGAAAATAACCGTCATTTCGTTACGTTTTGTCGGACCTGCACAGTCGCAGTTTGACTCTTTGGAAGACCAAAGGCAACAGCTCCATGTAGCCTACCGACCTGATGACGACTCCGGTTGAGGTGTCTGGAAATGCCATTTGCTCTCTAAGCCACAGTTCAGTTTGTCAAAGTTGTTTGTATGATATGCATTTGGGTCTATGCACATTGTGAAGCGGGTCTGTCGCCATTTCATGAGGTTATCCTTGTTTTTGTTTGTTTTTTAAGCCTCTGTTCAGGTTGTGAATCTTTTTATTGCACCTCTTACTTCCAGAAGTACATGAACCAACCGACTTTAAAGTTACTTGATAATCTATAAACTCAGGTCCAGATTCACTAAGACTGCATTGCGAGTGACTTTTCAGTTTTCATTAAAGTCACATAATGTTTTGTTGAGTATTTCGTCTGTGGTCCAGCACTGAGCAAGCAATCAGCCCTCTTTACTGCAAATTTCAGGCCCTTATTTCAGCTGGAGTCCTGCATCCATTTTCACCATAAATGTACTTTTCACTGTTCTGTCCTCTCACCTGCTCCCTGACTGCATGGTGACAGTGATGTGCCTTGAACAGTAATTATAACACAACAGACAAGTCTTGACTCAACATTTCGATGCTCCGTGTACGTGTAAGAGTATTCTGTAGCTGTCGTGTCTTCTATAGCATATAAATATAATCAGATATACACGTACATGATCATTCTCTGCTCTCATAAGCTGATTTATTCTTCTTCTCCCTACCTGTGCAAACCTTTAGTGAATCTGGATCGGTGTTGTTGTTTCAGCTGTACACAACTACATTTGACTGTTCCCCTTTTGCATTTTAGTCAAATTAGAAATGAGCATTCTCCCATCAGAGCAATGTTGTCTGCACGCTCATTGTTAAGGCTGCAGCTAACAATTCATCTATAATGTCAGAAAACAGTTAAAAATGACCGTCACAGATTCCCTGAGCCCGAAGTGACCTCTTCAAATGTCTGTTTATGTCAAGACAAAAGGCAAAAAGATTTAGCTTTCTGTGAGACAAAGTGGCTCATAATGATCAGAGTTAATTTTCTGTTGATTGATTCATTGAGTAATAATCTTTAACGTTTACACTGGAACACCTAAAGGTCCCTTGTTGAGTTATTCCCACAGTTTGTGACAGCTGTTCAGGATTTGAGTTGGCGCAGCAAGGTACTAAATTTAGTGGTTTTTGATTGGAATATTAAGAGCGGTAATTGGCTGCGTTAAGTCTTTTCTCTACTGAGAGAAGTTTTCCTCTCAGTTTTAATTAAATCTAATTAGTTAGCTGCTCTCATTAATCATTGCTGTGTTCCATGTGAAGTCAGAAGTCAACCTCGTTGTGGCCCAGCTTGCCAACCGTCTATATCATTGGAACGGGATTAAGTAATCTAGTTGGTACTTATTGTAATAGCAAAGCAAAGTGCAACTTTCCTCCTCAAGTTATCATGTTCAATAACTTACCACACAGGTGCTTTGATAGATTTAACGCACTTTACTTCTGGAACATGACTTAATAATAATTTCGGCAAGCATTTGTGCCACTCATCTCACATACTTTGTCATTAATTGCTTATTACTGTTTTGTAGTCAGCATTTCTGTTTTGTTAACTTCTGCAAGAGTCTGTGTGTGTGTGTGTCCTCTGACCTGACGGGATGGACACGTCTTCCTACAGTACAGTTTAAAACAGTTAAGCCAAATCTGCGTATACAAGGGTTCATTAAACGCCACTAAAGGAATAGTTCGACATTTTGGGAAACATACTTATTCACTTTCTTTAAGAGAGTTATTGTGTCACTGTTCCTGGCTAAGAAATACTAATAAAGTGTTTTTGTAGTGATTAAACAATATAACTAATTAATTATTGAGCTTCAGAGGTGCAGGTAAGTGCATTTTGTTACCTACTGACAGAGCCAGGCTCGTCGTTTCCCCTCCGTTTCTAGTCTTTGTGCTAAGCTAAGCTAACATCTGCTGGCTGTAGCTTCATATTTACCGTACAGACACAAGAGTGGCATCGATCTTCTCATCCGAGACTCAAAAATGTTCAACTATTCCTTTAAATCAGATGCATTTGAATTGAGTTTTTTTTTTTTTAATGCCAATGGGTTGTTGTGCTGTGGAGAATTATCGTCTACTGCGGAGTGCTGTTGCTTCTAGGTGAATTTTTGTAATTTTTAAACACAATTGTCTCTCTTTCTGGTGGCAGGGTGAAATTTTAAGGGGTATTCCTTTGTTTTTCTCCCACAATAAATAAAGGCCATAGTGTGTCTGTGTGTCAGGCTGAGGCTTAAAATGCACTGTTGAGAAGCAAAAGACACAAGACTGCAGTTAAACTCTCTCAGCTGCTAAAACTCCTCAATATCGTCTGGTGAACTACAATACACTAATGTAGACCTACGCGTTAGGACCAGCAGCCAAGCTCCTTGTTTAATTTCTGTGAATTACAAACTGTTCATAAACCAGCTCACACAAATATCTCCATCTCTTTATTTCGGCTCTCTCTTCGATGGATCACAGATCGGCTTGTATTTCTCAGAGTGTCTGTCTGCAAACTCGAAGGTCGTCATTTCATCTGAAGTTTTTAACCATCGAAAGCCAAAACCTGCTAATTTCAAATGTCCCGAAACATTTCAGGAATAATTATTTGTTTGTCTTTCTTCAGATCTTCTCAAATGAAATCACTTCAATGTAAAAGCGATGAGGCCATGGAGCACTGAAAGAAGACATATTATTTATTATTTTTGTAATTGTTGTAAATAAATCATAAAACAGAAAAATAACTTACAGAATTTCCTTATTGTTAATGGACATGTTTTATGAATTAATGTATGTTTTAAACGGTGTACATACATTTATAATTTTTTTTTATTTGTCACATAGAAATACCTTAATTTGAAATTAATAATACTAAAAGGGTTGTCGGTGGTAGGAGGTCAACTTATTGGTCAACTTAGGTTTTAAATGACGAACGCAGAGCTAACGTTCTTCCAAGGACAGATGGATGGTTTTGTGTGTGTGTGTTCTCATTATTCTCAGTTGACCAGTGAGACAATCTCCCACAAATGCTGTATTTCTCTAACGAGTGGCGAGAACATATTAAAATGTAAAAAGTAGAACAACATGACGAGGAAGTTTTTTTCAAAGTAGATATTGTTGTTTTTTTGTTTTTTTGGGGGGCGGGGATGTGTCACTCACTGTTGTGGTTCCCTGTGGACGATCTGTAAATGAGTTATTATGAAATTCAACCTAATAAAAAAGGGGGATTTTATAACTTCCTGTCTGTAGTTTGTCATGTATTTGCTCTAAATTAACAGCATTTTCACTGCATTTACTTTTAAAGATTAAAGGATGATTTTGGCCTTATTCTGTATATTTTTTCTTTTGCCAAAACATCCCATGAAAACACTAAAACCAGCAGTGTGTTAACCTGTGTTGCATTCAGTTGCAAACCCATTTGTTCCAACTGAAGATGTAAATCTTCAGCTCACAAATGTATGGTTTAATCCTTTTTAAAGCCTCAGTAATTTCCTTAAACCGCTGGTTACTCCAGTTTTTCTCAAATGTTTTATATAAAGCAATAGTGGATTTGTTAGGGACTATTTTCAGCTGCAGATTAACACACATTTGATTGTCCTAGTGAGTATTTCCAGCAGCAGGAGGGTGTATGTGGGATTGATAAAGAAACTACAGTGTGTTCATGTGTTTTAATAGTTGACAGTGGAGCTCTGTGACATATATCAGGCTTTAATAACAAATATAATACTTATTAGTAATACATTAGTTGTTGACATTAAGAAAAGTGTTTTTTGTGGCACTGAGGCACGATGATGAGCGCTGGTAGAAGCATGAATAAAGCTTTGTGTTGGTATGTTTAGCTTACTCTGCAGCAGCTCTCCACTCCCGAGCCTATAAATAGTCTAGTAATCCCATTAATAGCTTAGTCTACTTAGCCAACTCCATTCTGTTGATTAGCAAATATCTCCTGTGTTTGGTCGCTAGGACCTCGCCGCTACATCCTCTTGCTTATCAGGGAGCTGACAAAGGTCAGAGGTCGGGGACGGTAGGGAGAGAGTGTCACTGGGTCGTACTGTGGAGACGACTAGGCTTATGTCCTTATGTTTTATTTAAAGTGTAATCTGGTTTAAGCTGAAAGGATCTATATAATTCAGTGTATATTGTTGTAATTCTGTTTATTTAATTCCATTTATTTCAGACCTGAATCTCTTAAAAAGAATGCCTGAGCTAATTAATCCGTTTGTTCATTCATTCATTCGCTCTGTCATCTAGGTTATGTATTTTGGTCCCATCTGTTTGTTTGTTTGATGATTTTTAAGGAAATTTGGTCAAAAGTTTGGCCAGAAGCCAGACAACAAAGGATTTGTTTTTGTTGTCTCTCCAGGAATTTTAGGAATTAGATTTTTGGCAACGATCCAGATTAAAGATGGCACATTTTCTATTAACATATAATAAAAAATAAAGAAATAAAAAATGGTACAAAATCATTTAGAGAGGTAAATACTCTTTGAGCTTTGCAGGTCATTCAATCATGATATCTAGTGATCAGGAAATGTTGAGGTCCATATTCCTCCAATGCATCCCCACACTCATACTCTTTAATCTCTTTTATTGTAAAGGTATTCTTTATGTAAATTAATATAAATATGTGTATATAAATAATAATATTTCTCACATTTACCAATTTGACCATTTAAGTTTTATTCTTGCTTCTTTTAAAATTATCCTATTTCACTTTCAACACTGCTAAGACGTTTTCTGTTGTGCTTTCCTTTAAAAATTGTCGCATGTAGAGGCAGTGACAGGCACTAATTTACAGAATAAACCTTAAAAATCCACCATGTGTATTTTGTCTGTAGCTGTAGAACAAAAACTCCTCATTAAAATCCCCAAAATACAGAGCACATGACCTCAGTGGTTGCAGTCAGCACTGATGTATGCTGCTGTATGTAAATGGAACAGTAGAGGGCGTGCTTGATTCAGATAAAAGTTCTCAGTATGGTGTTGAATTGTAGTTGAATGATATGAGCAGCGTGTCTATTCAGCCGTACACTGAGATCTGGTTACTAACAGGCTCTCTTTCTCTCTGTTTTATTTTCACACTGCTTCTTCTGGCTCGATGACTCAATCCAACTCACTTCACCTTTTACATTTAGCAACGTTCTAGTGGGTATTAAATATATTAAAAAAAGACGTATAGATTTCATGAATTAAGCCCTAATGTCTAATAATAAGTTGTAATATATTTATCAGGGGGCTCTAATGGCGGTATTGTTGATACCACTCTCTCTGTTGACAGTAAGGAAAGATTTAAAACTACATACTTGAGAGTAAGGTTGTAATGGGAGGAAACAAAATATTTCAATGTTTTTAGCAATATTAACTCTATATAACTATATATAAGTCTATAGTTTCAAGTTACATGGGTCAAAATGTTGGCTACGTGAATACTAACGAGCGAGTGTTTGTTGACGAGAGCTAGGCTACTGCAGCTAGTTGAATGCAACACTGAATGCAAAATCTGTCAGATTTATCAATATATAGTCATCACTTTAACGTGTTTAATAGCTTACTAGATCTTTCTTTGAGAACAATATGTCTTAAATTTTACTTAATGCTTAAACAGTTTTCCCACTCCACTAAAATCTCTGTGTGCTGGATACTGAATACTGATACTACAAACAGAAGTCTAAGTTGAGACATGGAGCTAGCTGTTTATGCCGAAGGGCCAGAGGTCGCTTTATGCCAGCAGGATCTCCTCTTTAAGTATCAGGCTTCATAATAACATTATCATTTGAACCCCGGCACTGATCACTGCCATGATCCTCTGCCACGCCTGGACTTTCTAGGGGTCCGGCTGTGGAACGCGGTTTACACAGTAACCATAGCCAGAACAAACTGAGGAGCTAAAAATATCAACAGTCAACAGTCTGGCTGCTGTGGGATTGGGACAGGGGGCATGGGAGGGTCTTTACATGGGGGTTAGACAGGCTGCCAGAGGGGTAAAGGGATGGACAGCTGGGGAAACAGACTTTAGAACAGAAGACGGAGAGAAAATACAACTTAAAAACACATCTAACTATCTTTTGAGGGTTGAACAAGTCAAGAGTGATCGACACAGACCTGTATGGATATTGAATTGAAGAAGAAAGAGCTACAACTTTGTGTTTCTCTGCTTGTTATCCCTCCTCCTGCCTTCTCTGACATTTAACTCACCGCCCCTGGAGGTGATGAGCTTTGCGCTCGGCTTCAAGCCTCCGTCGGCGGGCAGTTCTGGGCCCGGTGCTGGCAGAGGAGCCACCATGGAGAACCTGGAGAAGCAGCTGATCTGCCCGGTCTGCCTGGAGATGTTCTCCAAACCCGTGGTCATCCTGCCCTGCCAGCACAACCTCTGCCGCAAGTGTGCCAACGACATCTTCCAGGTGAGATTGTGTCTGTTTATTTTCATGCCAGCAAATTTCAAGCACCTATCATTATTACAAACTGAGGTAATAGTTCAATTAATAGTTCAAAATATGGTAATCAAAGCTAAATCCAACAGGAATCTAGTTTCACAGCAGAATAAATGGATCAAAATGTCACATAATCCATATCCATCCTCTCCAGTTATGTCCTCAGTGCGTTCCAAACTGATATTTCTGTTAAAATATGACTGAATATCATAACAAGTGTGATGAACCATATTTGTTTTCTGTATTTGTATGTTGTTCTTGTAAGACATAAACATGTGTGGGCTGTGAAGACAAATGTCCCTCCCGGGACGATAAAGACTATATATTTAGCATCAGTTTGTCACTAAGGTGATTAGACTTTTACGTTCGGTCGCAGTAAGCAAATATAGCTGCATGTTGAATATACGTATTTATTGGTTTTCAGCATCAACAACATTCGCACTCACCAAAGAGAAGGAACCACATGTCACAAAATGTGGCCTTACGCTGGGATTAGTATCAGCTATCAGCAGCTATGAACATGACGAAACCAAAGGGTAATGATTGTTGTTGGGGCTGTCACGCGAAACAGTGGCGTCACGCAAGTTTCCAAAAGAGACAACCTGTGAATAATCCATGTCCAACAAGTGGTCGGCCATGATTCCTGGGAAATCACAGAGAAATTAGATTAGTTAGAAGTTAGATTTATTGAGCATTTTACAACACATGACTGTATGATGAGATTAAGTTCCCTTTATTCTACTCAAAAACAAAAGTTATGTACAAACATTGGGGTGAATAAATAATAAGTTATAAAAATAAAAGTATTTCTGTTGAGGGAGGAAGCTGCTCTGAGGTCTGGTGGTACGACCGCGAATACTTCTGTATCTCTTGTCAGTCGGCAGCAGGGTGAACAGGCTGTGGGTGTAATGCGTGCTGTCTTTTATCTTTATGACTCTATGAAAGGGATGCACTCATACCACTTATTTAAGATCAAATACAAGTATTTACGTTTTGTTACTTGCTGATACCAAGTACCTAGATGAATACTTAATAATACATTTACAGTTCTAACAATGACTTAAAACATGTTTTATTTTCATGAGATGTTTCGAACTTTCTGACTCTAACAAATTAAATTAGCTAATGTTGCTGTTAAAGTTGCTGAAAGTATCTCCAACCAGCTGACATTGCTTCTCCTCCACCTTGCTGCTCAACTAATGAGATGTTACGTCACAATGTTCAACCATTCAATAGTGTAAACTTCTCCAGTTCTGATCGTCAGTTCTGCCAAATCTCCACTGAATATCTTTGGGAATTGTAAATAAGATGGTGGGTATTTATACTGTTTCACTCCCTCTTCTCTTTATCCAGTCAGCGAACCCTCTGTGGCAGTCCCGCGGCTCCTCCAGCATGGCTGTCAGTGGCAGCCGGTTTCGCTGCCCGTCGTGCCGCCATGAGGTGGTGCTGGACCGCCATGGAGTCTACGGACTGCAGAGGAACCTGCTGGTGGAGAACATCATAGACCTCTACAGACAGCAGGAGTCCTCCAGGTGAGTGTGTGTGCAGGAGGGACCCCATATTCAGCATTTATAAGCACTATATAAACTTTAATAAACGTTTTATAACATACTATAATGTAGTTGTAAGCAGATTTATATATCTACATTTATTACATACCTAATATGTATCTGTTTATATACATAACTACATACTTTTACTCATTGAGGGCTTTACAATGATGATAAAATGACTAAAAAATACAAGATATTCAAATAAAAAATATAAGAAAACAATTAATTAATTAAAACACTAATAAAATATACAAGATAAAAAAAAACAAGTCATTAAAACAACTATAAAAGCAGTTCTTACAAGATATAACAAGTGCAAACAGAGGTTCAGTAATTTTCAATCATGGATTTAAATTCATCAAGGGGTACAAGAGTATTTATCCTTAAAGTGCTTTGTAAAAAGTAGTAGGAATTAAAAACTAAAAGCGGATCTTATAAGCAAGCATGAAAGAGAGATATTGCCTTTCTAATAAGAGCTTTATAGATCAAATAAATAATACATTTAATTAATGTTCTTAATACTTTTAAAGTTCATAGAATTATGGATTTTTTCTTATTTCCAGTTGTCACAGTATTTGTATCACATCGTACCAACAAGTTTATTAAGAAAAACTCTATATAGAATCTGAAGTACCGTTGTTGTAACATAAGTGAGTACCAGTAGAGAGCAGTGTTGTATTCCTTTACTGTCTTCAGGTTTCTGACTGCAGTGGAGAAACAGACATTAACACTGTGAATCACAGTCGTCATTAATTCATAGTGACAAACTGATACTTGAGTGCTTTTTTAATTAATGGTTGTTTGCCTTTAAATGATAACACCCTGGGGGTTATTTTCTCCTCAGTTTATTCCTCATTTTTATTCACTATATATTTATTTATTGTTCAACACCGCTGTGAAGTATTTTAAGCTTTGAAACACATGCACACTCTTGATTTTCTGTATTCACCCTTAGGTGATGAATACCATTTTAATGCAGTGGTTGTCGACTGCAAGTTATAAACATAATGTGTGCGCATGGAAAACATACTAAAAAGGAGAAGAACGTCAAAGAAAAACAACCAAAAACGTATAGAATTAATTAGTTTATACATAATTAATAAATAAGTGTATTTACACAGTGCATTGCAAGCTCAATGTGCTTTAGACACAGCAAATATGAACAAGATAAAATAAAACACATATATTATAGAGTTATTCATCCCCTGCCCACCCACCAACATAAACATACCCAGAGAGAGAGAGAGACAGGTAGACAGACAAAGAGATGGAGGCAGTAGCTGGCCATACAGAGTCTAAGAGAACAGAAAGGTCTTAAGCTCGCTTTCAAACGACACCACAGTCATGCTCCATCTGATCTCATCAGGCTGTTTGTTGCAGAGAGTGTGACCTTAATGACTGAATGCACCGTCACCAGATTAACTTCTGGTCCTGGGTACGGTTATGAGACCAGTGTCTGAGGCGCTAGACCATAAAATAATTTGTAAAAAGTGAGCAATGCTTTGAAATCAATTCTGTGTTTGATTAGAAGCCAGTAAAGTGAGTAATATGGTGAGTTTTTATCAGGAACACTGGAAAACAGTGGTTCTTCTAGTCTGGTGTGTAACATTTAGAGGGTCTACTGGCAGAAATGGAATATATATGTATATAATATCCCGAATATAGGAATTGTTATGTTTTTGTTACTTTAGAATGAGCAGTTTTTATCTACAGACACTGCGAGTCTGTAGATAAAAGAGCGGACAAACCAAACACTGGCTGCAAATACGCCCGTTCAGTGTTCAGTGCTCAGTTAGTTGCAATCTGGAACTTAACCGCTAGATGCCACTAAATCATACATACTGGTCCTTTACAGTTTTGTTAGAGTGCAGGATAAAATAAATAAATTGACAGTGTTTTTAGTAACTGGTGAAAGAGAAGGAGCTGCAGTGACTTTCCTTTTTGGTGTCCAGTCATCAGTAGAGATGGACACAGATTTAATTTAACATAATTCAACATCTATCTGATCTCAGATGTTCAACTCAGAGCTTCTAAATCATAACATCTCTAGGTGGGAGCTGACTTTCTGTGACCTTTTTAGTGTTTTGCTGAGTTGTGACTGCAGGGAGTTGCAGTAGAGTTGCAGTTTTACCTGCTTTGTGAAACAATTTCATAATTAATAACTTTAACAAAGCATCTAAGCCAACCAAATTCACTCTCACAAATGACCAATCATTGGCCTGAATTTTGTTATTTTGGTTTTTATCAATCAACTAACTAATGCTTTAAAGTAGATTTTGTTGCATAAAAAGTCAAATGTTCCAAGCAGAAGCCTCTTCAGTTCTGTTTTATAAGCGCACACACTTACTACAACTCTGCAGTGATATTCAAGTCGTCCTCAGTGTAGATTTGCCACTTTCACTCCAAAATAGAAGCTCAATGAGTCACTGGTAAAGAAGAGAGATGTTGGCATTCATTAGAGGACAGAAGGACAGGACTCCCCTCATTATCTGTGTGGGCTAAAATAGATGTGATTGTTCACAGTGAGGTTCACAAATGTTTTGTAACTTGTAGTGTCTCATCATTTTTTCATGTGTTGAAAAAAATTCTCATTATTTAATCATCATTTCTGTCAGAGACACCTACGTCAGAGGACAAAGGGACTGTTTATTGCATGAATGTTTGCTTCCGTTACAGGCGTTGCATTTTAGGATGCAAATGCAAACTTGGTGGGACAGTTTGTGTGAATATTCAACATTTGGAGTGGAAAATTGTTGCAAAACTACTCAAAAAATATAAACTATGTTGTTCTTATTATGTACTTTGGATACATACGGATACACGAATGGGCCGATTGAGCCATTGTGAGTAGTGACACCCTCTCGCTTCCAAGGTGGCAAAGAAACAACTGTTATCTCAGCCAAACTCTTGGCGTAGTTCTTCCATCATCCGCTGACGTCAAAATACGTCAGCAATAACAGAAGTAAACTAAGCTGGTTTAACAATACGGACAGTGTTGCCAAGTCTTGTGGACTACTGTGCCACTAGTACATGGAAATCTGATTCAAACTGCCAAGTTTGGATTAGGTGATAAATTAAACACTGGATGAACTTCTGGGTTCTTCCTCACTTGAGTTTGTTCAGGTGCTTTAAGAAATATGTCTGCACCTCATAGTTACGACACTTTTAATTTGGACTTTGAACTTTCTAGTGATTAAAAATAGACAAAATAAGATGAAAACATAGCCTTGATAATAAAACATGTTCATGTTATGTCAAAATGATTAGATTAAAAATGCAATATGAACGTTTATTTCATAGGTGTTTGTCTAATGATGATATGGTAACAGAGGTTGGAGGCCCTAAAAACATATGTTGTCAATCAGCTTCTTTTTATGAATGATGGGATCCTACATCAACACACTGTTTTCTTCCAAATCCAAAACAGTTTTCAGCTCTTCTTATTGGACTGATATGTCACATATTTCTGTGCACCAATCAGTTTAAAATATATCAGTTCAGTGTGTACCACTTAATTGACCTCACTCACCAGTGCACTTCACTTCATTCCAGTTTACTTCCCTCCACTTTATTTCATTTTACTTCACATCATTTCAGTTTACTCCACAACCACGCCACATGACTCAAGTCAACCAAACTTCACTCCACTTTGATTCACACCAGGCCACTCACACAGTACTTCACTTCCCTCAACTTCAGTTTACTTCTTTTCACTCTACTTTATTTATGTTTGGGGTTTTTTTAAATTATGTTTATCAGGATTTTATTCCCCCCCCCCCGCAACAAAATATACAATCAATCAGTACATACATCAACATGAACCTTTTTACAATCCATTTATACTTTTTATACTACTTGTCTCTCCCAGGCTTGTGGACATGAAGCCGGAGCAGCAGCAGCAGCAGCTCATGTGTGAAGAACACGAAGAGGAGAAGATCAACATCTACTGCCTCTCCTGTCAGACGCCGACCTGCTCTATGTGCAAAGTGTTCGGGAAACACAAAGACTGTGATGTCGCGCCGCTCAGCAGCGTCTATATGATGCAGAAGGTAAAGAATCAATTCTGCATTAATTAAAACAAGGTCTAACCGGTTGTTTCCCTGTAATCCACTTGACTTTTTACATCACCCCACTCCACATCTCTTCCAATCACTCTACTCCACTCCACATTACTGCTCTCTGCCTCACTTCATTTTAGTATTTTTATATGCACTTCCATAGATTTTGTACTTTTATCTATTTTGAATTCAAGAGTTTGTTCTTTTATTGGCTGCATCATATTCCTATTTTTTTATGTTATACAGGAGACCTTAAATGGGTTGCTTTAGCTTTCTAAGTGGTTTATAAATAAAATCATTATTATAATTATTATTTCTAATACACTTAACTTCACTCCACTTTCAGGCAAAGTAATGAAACAAAACCAAAAGATTCCTCCAGAGACGAACAGTAGTTGGTGCAGTGTGCTGGAAGTGAGCTGGCAGGTTGTTGGAGCAGCAGAGCTCCCAACTGAAGCTTGTTTAAAGGTCAAAGGACCATCAAGAGTGTACACAATAGTCTAAACTCTAAAAGTGTGTGTGGGTGGGCAACAAGAGACGATGGCCTTTGTCTTCCTTCTTTCTGTTTCTATTTTTAAACCTTTCTCTCTTTCCTTTTCTGTTTGGATTCCCAGTGTCTCTTTCCAATCTTCAGGGAAACACCAACACAAACCAATATGCACACTGACCTACCACCCAGTGCAAATAAATACTGTAGGTAACCACTGAGATCAGGACACACCTGTACACACCTCGTCATTGGTGGAACAAGTAGAAAAATAGAAACATCACAATTTAGTGTACAAGTAAAAGTAGTTTTATTGAGAAAATGTTCTTAAAATATAAAAGTACTCACTATGAAGCTAAACTGGGCTTTGTCTTTGTCACATTATTATATATTTCACTTATGGATTATTGATGCGGTAACATGTAAGATGTATCTTTATATTGAGGCGGGATGCAGTTAATTTTATAAATTTCTCCTCATGCATTGTATTTTATAATACAATATTATTTAAAATCTGCAGAGTAATTAGTATTATTATAGCATTATACTAGAGTAAATGTACTGTCCACGACTGCACCTGGTTATCGAGTCATCTAAAGATGTTTCTGTTTAATTGCAGAATCAAACAGACACATCAAATATATAACTTTTTTTATTAACTCATTTGTTCACGCGTGTGGAGACGCAAAGTCACACAAAGACAAAGTGCAGCAGTGCTGTCATGCAGATGGCAGCAGCAGTGTCCGGCATGTTATTGAGCAGTTGGCTTTGTTGACATTTCAGTGCCGGTCTCTGATTCACTCATCTGAATTTTAGATGAGGTTGTGGAAAGTTGTTGATCCTCCATCCTTATGCAAAGGTTAATCCGAAAAACAAAAAAAGTTGCTGATTTCATTCAGGGCCGATGGAGGTGAGAACGTTCGATGCACTAATAACACTTTAAAATCGCACCAGGGCTGTGCAGAAGCTGGAACAAAATATTAAAATGTGCATGATGTTATATGATAGTCTAAACAGATGCATGCTGGTGACTCATGTTGTTGTGCTTTAGGTGGTGACAGGCTTACTAACTAGAAAGTACTCAGAGTGCGTTCCTCCGTCAACACTGCACAGTTCTCTTAAGTGTGTCTTTTTAGTAACAGAAAATGTTTAGAAAATTAAAATCTGGTTCTGCATAGAAAAACACAGACAGACAAGAATGCCTATTGGTTTTCAGTTTATTTCAGTTTTATTTATTTAGCACCAATTCATAACAAAAGTTAGAAAATAGAGACCGTACTCCTTTTAAAATTATTTACAGAGACCCAACAGTTCCCACCATGAGCAAGCACTCGGCGACGGCGGCAAGGAAAATCTTAAGAAGTTGAAAACGGTCTTGATTTGTGGATAAAAACAAAACTTTTACAGTAATATTAGGAGTTATTCAGACACATAATCACTAACTTATGGCCATTTAAATTCATCATGTTGCTGTAGCGCCATCTATAGGTGAGCTGATACTTGTCCCCACTGTAAATCTGAGTCAAGAGTTATTTGGTGAAGATTGTCTAACAATAATCAATGTACATATTAGATATTGGCTGACTCAGTTTCAATCGAGTCTTTTTAGTTTGAATAATTCCAATTTATTATTTTTACTCGGTTATTATTAAATAGTATTAATGTTGATGGGAGGGTTGTGGTTCAGGTTATAGAGCGGGTCGTCTACTGATCACAAGGTTTACAGTTTGATCCCCACCTCCTCATGTCGAAGTGTGGCAAGCCACTGAACCGGGTTTCTCCCCAGCCACTGGGGATGCACAAGCCTGGAGGATTGCGTCAGAAAGAGCATCTGACATGAAAAGCTTATGCCAAATCAAATATGTGGATCATAAGATCTCTTTGGCGGGTTAGACAGGGCCCAATTTGCCAACAAGATGTAGACAGAAGACCCGCAGTGGCGAACCCTACCTGCCTCAGGGTAATTTAGGTTCTTATCTGCTGTTTTATTTTGGACAGTTGTAGAGTGTAACAGTAGAGTCGAAAGGCTGATGTGAATCCAGAGAGTGGATGGTGGTTGTTCTATCTTTCCACGTTGGCTAGCTTATAAAAGATTCCAAAAAATCAGGGTTACAACTGAATTAACTTGGTGGGAGTGAGGAAAAAAACTGTTTTTAAACTCAAATTGGTGGAAAATCTCTTTTGACCAAGAGGAACAATCACATAAGACACAAATGTGAGGACATGTTGCTTCGCTGGGCCATTTATTGATACGGTGAAAACAATATTAACACACTGATTTCCTTAAGTTTAAGTTATTTTCAAAGGAATGTTGGTTGGATTAAACTGAAGTGATTTTGTGAATGTTTGCAGACAGAGCTGAGTGACGGCATCGCGATCCTGGTCGCCAGTAACGACCACATCCAGGAAGTCATCTCTCAGATGGAAGCAATCTGCCACACTGTAGAGGTTAGACACACACACACAGACACACACACACACACACACACACACATATATATATACTGCACAAGTCTAAATCAGGCAGCAGGTGTTCTTTGTATTGTAAGTGTTTCACTAGTTTTCATCCTATAAATACTGAGTAATCTTCTTTCTCACCTCAGGACAACGGGCAGCGGCAGAGGGAACAGCTGGCCACCCATTTTGGCGGACTGGTGGCCATCTTGGAGGAGCGGAAGCAGGAGCTGGTGGGGCTCATCACCAAACAACAGGACGCCAAACTCAAACACATTCGCTCTCTCATGCGTCGGCACAGTGACGACCTGGAGGCCGCGGTAACGCTGGTGGAGTCGGCCATCCAGTCCATGGAAGAGCCACACATGCCTTTGTTTATACAGGTGGGTAACACCTCACATCAGCTGGTTAATATTAGTTAGTATTTTAAAAGGTTTATTCCAACAGTATTGAGACTCTGAATCTTTACATGTTATACTATTTTTAAGCCGAGAAAAATTCACCAAAAAACTAAACTTCGGTATTTTCCCCACATGGATTTTTAGGGCAGAAAGCTGTTATGAAACATTCACAGAAACTCTGGGACAAACTATTATCTTGAATTACAAAACTCGCAGCAAATTTAATAGCTGAATTAATAAAGTAACATTTAAACATTTTAAAAGTTATTAAAGTGATGATCTGGAGGAGAAAGTAATTGTTTTTCAAAATAATGAAAACCATAATTTGTTAACATAACACAAAGCCCAGTATGATGATGAGAAAAATGTTAAGGGATAGCAGAAGCATACATCAAGGCAACAAAATTAGTATTTTATGATCATTTCCCAAACTCCTAAAATAATATTCAGAATCCTGACTCCCAATTTCAAAACAACAGCTTTTTAAATTTTAGACTTTCTAATGTTAATTAACTGTATGATCAATAACATCTAATCCTCTTATATGCTAAACATTTCATTCATGCTGAACATACACGTGACACGAAATAAACCTTAGCAGTAGTGTTTTTTTCTTTATTTAAACAAACTCACCTCACATTTTACTCCTCCTCCATTCAATATAAAGTTTCCTGCCACCACACATCGATATTTTTCCCAGGATGGTCCGTGCTCAGTAGTCCCCAGGCCATATCTGCTTATGATCAAGGGCTTTATGTGCACAGCTGCAGGGCGAGGAGGAGAACGGGAGCAGTAAGCCCAGCGGGATGCCTCAGTGTCAGGCGCTCTGCTTCCACGATCCCCCCGTGGACTGCTGGGTCTCTGGTCCTGCATACCTTAAGACACAGACACTATCGTCACACACACCACAAACACATGATTAATTCATACAGCTGCAGGGATAATGAAGAGCAGGTCAGTCTCTCCAGTGCACTCTATCGATCAGCCAATTGATCACATGCACATACATGTTTTAATGGATGAAACATGCACATGTACATTATATCCACTGACCTCTAAATCTCTACAACTGTAGACTCATTTTAAAGTAAAGAGTCAAACTTAAAGACCAGGAGTTACATAGATCATTTTATTGTCCTGTGGACGAAATGCTGTTTTTCTGGAATTGATTAACTTTTAAACTTTAATTTGAAGAGTCAGAATTTGCTCAAAAATGATGTACAAAGCATCTTTGAATGTTCAAACCGCTTTCTGCCTACATTATATGTCCCGCCTCACATGTCGCTTTCACAGGGAATTCATCAAAGTTGGGAATTTTAAGGCACTTGACAAATGTTTTAATTGTGCCTTTGAGTCAAACTTAATTTGACTCGACTCGAATTTCGAGGCTCATGGTATTGTCAATAAAGGTTTCAGTCAGGCAGGTCACATATTGGTTTTCGTGCTAATATTATCAGTCAAATAATTTATCAATTAATGTCCAAGCATCTCATGTTAGGATTTGCTGCTTTTCTCTATTTTATATCACATGAAATTAATATATTTTGGATTTTGGACTTTTGGTCAAACACAACAGGCATTTTAAAGGTGTAGCATTGGGCTCTAAGGGGTTTCCTGACATAGACCAAACAATTAATAGAAAAATAATCATTAGTTGTAGCCCTAATTTGTATTTTCAGGACACTAAAGTTACTCAGAAATGGTACTACGCATGTCCTCGGATACATTTATTACAAACAAACCTTTTGACGTCATTTAAGGGGTTGAATGAAACGTGACAAAAGTTAAAATGTTAGTTCAGTTAGACGGTCCAACCTCGGTCCCAGTCGTCCCTGAAGAGACAACAAGTTGTTACTTCAATTCAGCATCCTCACTGCTCTCTGCGTCACTCTTGTCTCCTGTGAGGAGAGATTGTGTGTTTGTGTGTGTGTGTGTGTGTGTGTGTGTTTGTGTGTGTGTGAGAGAGAAAGTATGAGCCTCAGGTGTCGCTGTTTTATGTTCAGCCACATCCTCTGCCAAAGCAGGTGTTAAAGGAGATAGAGTTAGTGGAGGCAGGTAGTAAACACCATGAGGCCAATCTGGCAGCCGGCCGTATTTTTCTTAAAATCATGTTTTTATTTTATGCGCTGACGTGTCTGACAAACACTTCTGACAGATGTTGTTGGCACAGACAACTGAAGCACAATGTGATTAACTTTGTCTCTTTCCTCCTTTCTGTCTGTCTCCTTCACTTTCACAGAGCGCCAACGTCATACTGGAAAAGTAAGTCGAGTGTTTGTAGTGAAACTCATCAACTGCATGTAGTGACTGGTCAGAGTTTAATAATTACTGAGTCTATTTACTTAAAATTACTACCTTATACTTCTACTTCACCACATGTCAGAGAGAAATATTGTACGTTTTAACAGCTGTAGTTAAAACATTTTTTTGCATATTAAAAAAACCTATCCTTACAAAATTTTAAAAGCAATTTTAAGCACTTTCAGGGTGTTTTGTTTTACCAGGTTAACTGTGGTAGTATGTTTTGATCGTGGTTACTTGCTTGTTTATTTCCAGAGTAAGGGATCAACAGAGGACTTATCTAGCTATGAAAGACGGGTGAACACGCCAGGGGACAAACAGATATGAAAACGGGGTCGTTTCATTTCAAATATTAAACAATTGTTAGTTTACATGAGTGATTGTGATGAAACAACCAGAATATGTTGAAAATCAATCACTTTTCAGTCAGTATATTCAAATTCAAGCATATTGCTAACATTAAAAACATAACGGTTAAATTAAGAATTTTCCAAATTTTCCAGACTTTTTTAATAAACCCTGGTTTTTATACAGTAAACTGAACTACATAATAAGAGTATATAAAGTAGCTCCAAATCAACCAACCATTAAAATAAAGCTTAAATATTAAGACACCAGTTATCTTATGTTAATATTAGGAGCCATACGTTATTATGAGTACTTACAAAAGTAATCCACTGATTTAATACTGAACTTTAATAAAGTTAAATTACAAGATACAGATTTTTTTGTTGTTGTAAGAACCAAAGCAGACCCTACATTTCCCATAATGCAATATGATAGCATCCTTTGTTAGTCTTTTATGTCTTTCAAACGTTAAGTTTATAACACAGACTTTCTGTTCTCAGATAACTTAAAGACCCTACATGGTACTTTTATTTTAACCAGTTAAAAAATAATATTTTACGGGTTTAAGTGATGATATTTTCTCAAATCTTCTACAGGGGAAACAACATCATACAGTTTTTACAGGCTTAGTAGGACTCCTGGTGTCTAGTAAACTGATTAAAAGTGAGTAAAATCTATGGAGCTCCCCATTAAGTAAATCATCTGAATACTTCTTCCTGCCCTGCTGGTAAATAATCACATTTAACAGATTTCCTCACACTGAAGTGTGGAGCATAAAACATTGTAACATTCCCACTTACTGTCCATGTAACTATGTACCTATAAAAACCTTGTCACATTGGTTGCCCTATCAAATCTGGTCTAATAATTATGTCTAACATAAGGGGCAGTTGACACAAGAGTCCACAAGAAGCCAACTGACTGGTCCATTCCTGCCTGACCAACAGATAACATTTCCGTGCGGACAGACGGCTCACTGGCAGTTTTTAAAAATACACCTAGACCTCAAATATAGGCACCGTAATAAAATGTGAAAACTGCAGCTATGTTAGACAGGAGGGAATGTGTGGGGTTTTGTGACACCACAGATGAAGACTGTCTGGCAGATAAACACCCAAGTGACAACAACTCAGCAACAACACACCCCCAGGAGAGGAGACAGGAGAGAGCCACTGTGCACATTTGACTGCTGAAGCGGGGGGGGTTAGTCTGGGGGTCCAGAAAACCACCAAAAAACATTTAATTTTGCCATCA